ACAGTTGTTCAATTTACCTGAATTTAGTAAATTTCAGAAACTTAGTTAGTTACTTTTTATATTAAAGTAACTTAACTTTAACTAGTTGAGAAAAGTGAATACATTTTGCTCAGCTTTGCCAATAGATAGGTATTTATTCTAAAATATTATCCTTTATTAGATAGTATCTATTAGTTACTAAAAGATAAAGTACCTACTATCTATTATAATGGCTCTATTTTTACGGCTTTAAACATATTTATAATATTGTGAATTTGTGTTAAACAAATCATAATAATTGAACAAACACTTCAATACCAACATATCATTATACAATATATAGTATAATATTATGATTTTTGTTATAAGGAGTGTCTAAATATTTAAATTTTGAGTACCAGTAAAATAAACAAAATAAAATATTTTATACTGTTATTTATGGAGTACTTACTATTGGTTAAATCTTGTGTGTTGGCATTATTATTTATCTGTTCATCCAATATTTTAATGCGTTTTAGAGACACTGCTTCAATATTTATAGTATATTCTGTTAAAGTCAATATCTGTCTAGAATTTAAAACAATACTTATTAGTTATTTTTGATTGAATACATTACAAATATTATTATGTAAGTACCTGATTGTATAGAACCAATGTCCACAGAAGTTAGTGTTGCAATGGAAAATGCATGATTAATTTATTCTCGCACAGTGTATTTGGTAAAATCTTTTCTACCATATTCATCATAAGTGGATTTTTTGACAAAGGAATAAATACACTATGTAAAAAATATACTATAACCAATATTTTTGAATCTGAAAAATGAATAACTTGTAAAAAATTTTCTATTTTAAAACATACAAATAAATATTAACAAAAACATTTAAAGTTAAACTCCAAGATCACGCACCCTGGTATTTGTAGGTAGGTACTAAATAATGTAGATTATACTATACTTATATAAATTTATAAGAATCATAATTCAACGGTTTTATATTGAATTTACTTTTTTTTTTACTATGGAATATTATTATAATACAAAATATTAGTACAATAATACCTACCTATTGGAAATAATTTATTTGTTATATTATAATATGCATTCTAGATTTATTCATGTGGGCATAAAAAATGTATGATTTTGACATTTCTTTAGTTACTAAGAATTAAACTAAGCTACTATTGATTCTTAAGTTGACACAAAATGTACCTTACATTGTATAAGCAAATAGTTTTCAAATATTACCTAGCGACAAATTGTGAAGCGTAATATTGAATGATTTTTCAAAAACTGAATTTAAATTAGAATTGCCTGTATATTTACTCTGTATATCAATATCAACCTAGAAGATATATCATAAGCAGTAAATTAAAAATGCAATAATGATCCCTTAAATACAACATTCTAAAATCATAATATTAATTTTTTATGTTTCAATAAAATTGTGCTTAGTTAATAACTCAATTTTAGAAATATTTTGAGAAGACCAGCTGTTATACGAATTATAAGTATTATGAATTATTAAGGGCCCATTAATGTATATTTATTATGTATTTAATATTATTCTAAGATTTTTATTTTTGAATTTGAGTGTTTAAAACTCTAATGTGTACACGGCTCATAGAATCATATAAGTTATTGCAGCACAGCTATTCTATGAATATTATTTCTAAGGCAGTCACTATAATGTAGGCTTCACAGCTCTATAATCTATTGATGAAAATATTGTTATTTGTACGTCGTATGCTGTAGTCTCCTTACCATCCTTATAATTATTATTAGCTCCTAGAACCACTATTTAATAATATGAATATTTTTATTTTTATTTAATTTCTGTGTTAAAGAGAGCTGTCTCTTAGGGCCTACAAGTTTCTAGCTATGCCACTCCTTCTTAGTTACATTTTATTTACTAACCAGCCATACCATTATACTTCAATTTTTTCTCCAAGAAATTCCACATCTTATATTTTACTAATAAATTACTCATTATTATGTACAATACATTATTAATTGTTATATATTACCAAATAAATCCATAATTTTTATCCACATTGTGTCATTATTCAAATGGTGTTGAAATATTTTGAATACAATTTACTTTTTGGGGAATTCAAGGCATCATTACCAAAATGTATTTCCTATAATAAGTCACAATAGAAATGAGTGAGTAGTAATTATAATGTAAACTATAAATTTTTAAACAAATTGTGCACTACAGTCTACACGAATGTGTATTCAATGCAATGTTGACCAAAGTATTATAGTTGTATCATATAGAAATACGTAAAAGTGCAATACCTACCTATACTAATGTAATGTGTGTTCAACACACTACAACTTGAAGTAATATTTTTATTTGATTACAAATATAGTTTTGTTAATGAGTGTGATGTACGCATTTTGCTAGATTATGTATATGTTAATAATTTAAAGTAATATATATTACTCGAATGCCACCGCAAATGGATTGATTCGCCGTAACAGTCTGTCTAAGTCTGCAAGCAAGTTCTCCAATAGTGGTCGTTCACGTGGCTGTTGTGCCATGCGAATCTGATTTGCTGCCCCGGATTCAATAAAATACAACTCACAATACCTTGGTTGCATTAGTTCATTTCTGACAACATCATTACTAATCCTACGATACACTTGCCCGTGAACGGAGAATACTCTTGGTCCCTGACCAGGCAAACGTCTTGGGCTCAGATCAGCGGAGAAAGCTGCAAATGCTAGAGTGTAGTTGTACCGGCAGATTTCTTTCCGAAAGTGTTTTGCTACCTGCGAATCATCAACCAACAAACGAATTAATAACTCTGGTGGTGGACCCAAAACACGGTCTCCTGTAACAGCCATTTGACCGTAATTGCAACACGTAGAAAAATGACCCGTTGAAGTACGCTCGCAGGAGAAATGGTGGGCACCACAGTTCCGGCAGACAACATTCAATGGTCCTATGTCATGCCAATCTGGAAGTTCGTGTTGAATGCCAGGCGGACGGTCTCTCAAGGGCGCACGTGCTCTCGGTACAACAAGAGGAATCAGTACGAACTACAATTAAAATGCACAGTTATTAAGAATTTAATGTTATAAATGTTTATTTTAATTTTAATAAGATGTATTTACTAACTTCTTCATTGACGTCTGGTAGTAAAACGACAAGTGCGTCCCTGAATTCAAATTCTGCCTCTGCGTCAGCAGGAAGTAAATCCACATACTCAATGTCATCTTGTACCACTTCCTCTCGTAGCATTTCTTCTTCAGCTAGGTCCATTATTACATCTTGCACTTGGACTTCGATAATATTATAATAAAATTGAGTTTAGGAGACCAAACTCTAACGGGCTACGGTCTACGGCCGCCCACTGCCCACATGAAAAAACGTACCGAAACGAGTCGCACGATTAAACGACCACAGGCTGCGCTGCGTACGCTAGGGTTACTATAGGTACCGACTTTAGCCCGTTTAATATATTATATAGGAATTTCTTAATACGAATTAAAATTGAAATTAATTTTTGTTCTGCAGATTAGATATCGGTCACAATATATCTGTAAAGTTTCCCTCCTCCCTCTTTGACCAGGAAACTTAAAAACTGCAAAGATATTGTGCAATTAATTTGCTAAATTTTACTTGGAAGGATACTCAGAATCTACATATACCTATCCTTGGTTTTCAGTGGTAGTTCTAAAACGACGATAATACATACTTACACTAAACATTTATGATTTCTGACTTCTGGTAAAACGTCAACGGTACCTATATGCGAATTCTGAACATTTCCGAGCAAAATATCTATATGTGAAATTTGTATGATACATATCATATCAACAGTGCCGGCCCTAGGGGGGGGGGCAAACGGTGCGACTGCACCGGGCCCCGCGCATAGTGGCTTGTGCGGGCTTGTTACGAATATCACTGTATCTATAAATAAACATAATAATATTGTCCCCGTAGCAGTAATACGGATATCGCGATCCGTGTTGTTTTCTTAGGAAACTGTTTGTTATCGACGAATACCAATTAGAATAAATACCGTCAAACCGGGTTACTTGGGACACTTTTGAACTTCGGATGAATACTGATCGAAAAGTTTTCAAAATATATTAATAATGGTAATGAACAAAAATGCTGGTCTTGACTTAGACTATGAGACCCATATGTTTTTTTTTTTGATTCCTCCCCCCTTCCCGTTTTTTTTTAAAAAAATATGCTTGTCCCAAGTTACCTTGATTTTTGGGTAACTTGGGACACCCATATATTTCTATGTAAAATTCAAGTTAACTTTGATATTATTTAACTTGGGACTTAATAATTGTTTTTAAAAAATATGTGAATGTTGACTTAAATAAGTGTATGTATTAAACAACTTTTAATACAATAACAAAACCAAAATAACATACTTGTTAATATAAAATCAAATAAAACATATTAAATCAACCAGAAATAATTAAAATAAAATAAATATAAAAACAATTTATAGGTAGTCAGCCTTATTTTAATTTCAATTTTTTTAGTCAATATTCTTAAACCTAAAATAACTTTTAATAGGTATAACGATAGAACATACATAAAATACTTGTTAATACAAAATTAAATAAAAAATATTAAATCAACCAGAAATAATTAAAATAAAATAAATATAAAAACAATTTATAGGTAGTCAGCCTTATTTTAGTTTCAATTCTTTTAGTCAAAATGCTTAAACCTAAAATAACTTTTAATAAGTATAACGATAGAACATATATAAAATACTTGTTAATACAAAATTAAATAAAAAATATTAAATCAACCTGAAATAATTACAATAGAATAAATATAAAAACAATTTATGGGTAGTCAGCCTTGTTTTAGTTTCAATTCTTTTAGTCAATATGCTTAACCTAAAATAACTTTTAATAGGTATAACGATAAAACATACATAAAATACTTGTTAATACAAAATTAAATAAAAAATATTAAATCAACCTGAAATAATCAAAATAAAATAAAAATGAAAACAATTTATAGGTAGTCAGCCTTGTATTAATCTGTTGAAGGAAACTTATAACGATTTCGTTTAAACACACCAGGGTAAACAATGTCGGAAATTTGATCCACTGTTACATATCCAATATCTTCTATCAGAGGAAATGTATAAATATCTCTCGATCCAACCGATTGCTTTAGATATTTTAGCTTTAACTGTATAGGATCGGAATTTTCATCTATATCCTCAATTTGAGCGTAAAATTTCTTTATTCCCTCTTTGGAAGTATTTACATTGTACAATAAATGAGCAACTACAAAATCACCTTTGCAAAACCCAGAAACAGAAAATTCTTGAGTTGATAGAGACTTTACCATTTTACGACTTTTTAGAGTTGATGGAGTATTTGAAACAGCATTCAAACTGCTGGTAGATGGCTGATTTATGTCAAAGTCTTCTTCGTCACTAAGGTCTGCTTTTGAAGTAATGCTCTTTCCTGGTTGAACTGATAACTTTTTGCGTTGGTTTTTTCTAAGGTTAGATGTTTCTTTAACCCTTGATTCAGATAAAAAATTTTCAAATGTTTCGCACCAACTCGTTCCAGTATCTTCACTAGTACTTATTGATTCGTTCAAATGTCTACTTAAAGTAGGTATTTTGCAAAGCACCATGTTTTCATCTAAAGGGTAAATTCCCGTAGCTTTAAATCCCGAAATCAAATTTTTTGATGCACAGTTATCAATATTTAGTCTATCCAAAGCGTTCTTAAAAACCCTAGGAAATTCTGTTTTTGGGATACTACCACGATGTTTATTTTTATAAGCCAATAAAGTCTTTCTCCAATGGATTTTTAGTGGCCTAAAAAATGCCACATCTAAGGGTTGACACAGATGAGTACTATTTGGTGGTAACAAAATAAACCTTATATTGTATTCTTTACATTTTTCAATTACAGCAAGTGATATGTGGCTGGCGAGATTATCACCAATCATTGCTTTTGGGATATCAGCGGGAAATTTTTTATAGTATGGTAAGATTAATTTATTAAACCAGTCTTCGAATAAAACACCATCGAACCATCCAGACTTGGAACGATTATACCTAGTTCCTTTAGGCCCACCCTCTGTCCAACTATCATATAAGTTTTCCGCTTTGTATACCACATAGGGTGGTAATAAATACCCGGAGGCTGTTCCAGCAAACATTACGGATACACTAGATTTAGACGAGTCTAAAATTCGTTCTGGATGTTTGCAACCTCTCCTTGTTATTATCTTGGCTTTCCCAGGGTCGTCAGTAATATTGGTTTCGTCATAATTAATAATTAAATTTGCAGAAACTCCGGCTAACGAGTTTTTTAAGTGTTCAAAATATTTTTTTATAGATTCATGGTTGATTTCCGCTCTTGATCTCTTTATATTTTCGGCTAATCGCTCACTTAATATAGATTTATGTCTATCTAAAAAATGTTTGAACCATTCATATCCGGGTAAATTGTTTGTAAACCGTTTTTCCTTAAAACCATTTTTATTCAGGAATTGTTGTACCAATAACCGGATATCCATAGATGTAAAAGGAAATCCCCATTTACTAGACAAACATATTCCCTTAACTAGATTTTCCTCATCTTTTTCCGACAATGTATTTGGTCTGCCCACTTTCATCATATTTTTATTATTTACTTTTCTTTGCAGAGTAGACTTTGATATCCTATACTTTTTTTCTGCATCCCGAAAAGTTATTTTTTTTGTCTTTAATTCCATTACGGCTTTTTTTAAAGTTTCTTCCGAATAATTTTGATACTGTCTTCCACCAACTTTTTTTACATATTTTGCCATTTCGAATCTTAATTATAAATACCTACCTAGAGATAAGACCGAAAAAAGTTTGAATGAGTGATATTAAATAATATTAAAACTAACTTGGGACACTACATCTAACTTGAGACATTGTCCCAAGTTAGCATAAAAAAAATTTTCCCTCTCAAATTTGTGATAACCAACAAATCACACATAAAAATGATAACTTTGAAATATTGTTATTAATCATGACCTGTTATTACATCCTGTGTTCAAACTCACATTTACATTCAGCAAACAGTATGTCATATGCAAACCATACTTTTACATGCTTTTATATCACAATAAAACCTAAATGAACTTTAATATTTTTTAATAGAGTACTTACCTTGAGAGCACGTCCGGACAGCACGACGGTCGTTGTGAAAGTGATAATAAACAAATGTGTGATTATACGGTAGTGATAACAACATTTCTAGCGCTCAAATCTTATCATTGATAATACTATATAATTTGTATTCAAGTTATCCACATGTCCCAAGTAACCCGGTTTGACGGTATGTGTACTATGTCTATATTTTAATATCTTACCTTGATTGAGGGGTGGAAATCCAAAACGTACTATTGCCAAAATTGGCAAAAACGAGTTAGATATCGATTCTTATAAAAAAAACGCCGACAAATCGATTGGTGTTGTCAGAATAGACCAAAACGTACTATTTCCAGGTCAAATCAGCTGTTAAAAATGACTGCTTAATCCAAAACGAACCTTTTTCGTGCAGAAAAAATATATTTAGATAATCAAAACGTACTTTTTCCAATTTTACGCCAAAACGTACTATTGCCAATGTTAAAATAATAGGCACCAATCATTAACTATACCAAAACGAACTATTTTCGTAAATTATTCCAAAACGTACTTTTTTTTTATGTTATGTCAAAACGTACTACTGCCCGTATTGTAGGTATAGCGAAATAAAATAATTAATCCAAAACGTACTAAAATATAATTTATAATTTATAATATTCACAATCATTAAGTTTGAAATTAAATTAAAAATATAATCCTAGATTATTAAACACATTTGAGTCGTTTTTAATAGAAATAATATATTATTAAATAATTTAAAAAATCTTCCTTGTCTTCAAAATTACTTTTTTATTTATAAACGGTTTGTTCATATTGAAACAATAAATAAGAAATTAATAATATTTTTATTTTGGAAAAAGCACATTTTGGAGTATATTTTAATATTTAATTAGGTTTTCCAAAATGAACTATTTCCATTAAATTTTCCAAAATGTACTATTTCCATTAAATTAATGGAAAAGGTATACGTTTTGGATTATTTTACATTTTTATATGACAAAAAAATATGTAGATGTAGAATAATTAAAGTCATTCTATCTAAATTTTAAAAACAATACTGATAGGTAATATTATTTTCACAGGCAATTCAAAAAAGTCCCTAAAAAATAAAATAAATGTGTATATTGTATAATAATTAATAAATTAACATATACAACACATTGGCCACAGTGGCGTAATTACGGGGGGGGATTTGGGTGTCGTATCCCCCCCCCTTGACCATTTTTTTTTTTTTTTTTAATCGTCAAACACATTTATGTACTAATTTTATTAATATATATTTCATAGATAATACAAAAATCACCCGAATCTCCATAATATTATACAAATATATAACCATCCATCAATATTATCATAATATACAGTGTGATCACGATTTTAGGTACCACTGAATATCACAGATGGATGACTTTGTATTGAAATGGGGTTTTCGGGAGGTGATAGGGAGCACTTAAATACATATTTTCAGACCAGTTTCAAATTTTTAGCTCACTCGGTACGCGCTTGCCGCATGCGCAATATTACTTTTTTTTAAATGGCAACCCCAGTTTTTTCTGCAGATTCAGGTAGAGTATTTATTTTTGAACACTTATTGAACATTTATGCATAATTCGTGTTTAATGATATTTTCATTTATAACCAGTTGAAATAATAAAATAAGAGCCAAATAAATGTTTAATGGCGGACGGAAATCGGCCACAACCGACGCCTTAGTCCACTCAGCCACCCTCCCCCCCCTAATCAAACATTTATTTGGCACTTATTTTATTATTTCAACTGGTTATAAATGCAAATTGCATTAAACACGTATTATGAATAAATCCAAAATTTGACTTTCTCTAACTTGGTAAGTTTTATAAATAGAAAAACTTTCAATACAAAAAATGTTTAAAAAAAAATACTCTACCCAAATCTGTAGAAAAAAAGTGGGGTTGCCATTTAACAAAAAGTAAGTCAAATTGCGCATGCGCATACCGAGTGAGCTAAAAATTTTAAACTGGTCTGAAAATATGTATTTAAGTGCTTCCTATCGGCTATCACCTCCCGAAAACCCCATTTCAATACAAAGTCAGCCATCTGAGTGGTACCTAAAATCGTGATCACACTGTGATACAATTATATTCTTTTAAAATAGCCAAAATAAGATGCTAATATTCTCTTAAAAAGTTGAAAATATTCTTCCAATATTCTTTAAAAATAATAATAAAATATGCAAAAAAAAATGCTTTTTTATTAAAATATTCTCTTGAACTAAAAATATGCATTTATATGCAAAATAATTAAGCAAATAATACGAACATATAAATAAATAGGTACATAATATGCAAAATAATATAAAAACCTGATATAAATAGGTACCTACATAATAAAAAATACTACTTGTTAAGAAAAGTTTGATTTAATATTTAATTATTTTAAATTTTAAATTTTTAACTAAGAAAATGTTTGAAATCAGTTGACAACATAGGCGTGCGCACAGGGTGTTCCGGGTGTGCCTGGGCACCCCCTGACATTTAATTGGGGCCCTAAAATATTTAATATTTATTTGATGTTTAGCATTGTACAAGTTGTTCATATGAACAGGTAGTTATATTTGAAATTAAATATTGTGAAAAGTAAATTCAGAAGTATCATGACCCAATACTGTTTGGAATCATTAATTTTACTTTTTACGGAACAAGAAATGGCCTCTAATGTTGAAGTAGATTTAGTTATTACTTATTAATGAGTTTAATAATTTAAGTAATAGACGCATATTATTATAAATCTATAACTGTTGTATTAGAATGTTAAATAAACATGTAACTAAGTAAGTAATATTTATTTGTACAATATAATTTACTAAAATATGTATTATGTACAATGTACATGTCTTGTTAAGAGAGGGCCCAAGTTAAGGAAAGGGCCCAAAAATATTGTAGGAAACTAGGAACCCCCCGAAATCCAGGTCTGCGCACGCCTATGGTTGACAACTATATTTTGTTCCATGTTCCCTGATGTCATATTTGTACAACGGTCGGTTAAAATGTTTTTATATGTGCTATTTATATTATTTAGGCCACTGCAACAAAAAATATCGAACATCAATTAATCGATATATTCTCTAATATTTTTTATTATACGAAATATTCTTTTATCTTGAAATATTCCCAAATATGCAAAATAAACTTTTGCCATTAACTCACCTGTTTCATGATTTGTAAAGATTTCGAACCCCCGTCTGACTGCATAGACTCAAAAAAAATATGCAAAAGAATATAATTCCGGCTACTAGTTATTACATACAGATATTAATGGTTGTATTCTTGTATTGAGGGGTGCTTATTGCTTATAGCTATTATGCCTTATACGTTAAAAAAAAATGTTGAGGGGGGGGGGGGGGTAATTGGTGAAATGTACATACATTTCATCCCCCCCCACAACCATGACCAAATTACGCCACTGATTGGCCATATGGGGCCCCGCGAAATTCTGCACCGGGCCCCGAAAACCATCAGGCCGGCACTGCATATCAATGATACATATTTATTGTATATATTTAAAATACTGTAAAATTAAATTGTACATAGAGCGCCAAAAATGTAATTTGAAAAGAACACGGATATATATTAGAAGAAAAGATGAACTATTAATATTAATTTCTCTATGTATATAGGTATTTAAAAAATAATTTAATGTTTTCTATTTTAAAAAAAATATTATATACTGTGTGTCCTCAAAAACTGGATAAACTATTTAACTAAGTTACCTATACATGATTACTCAGTACCCTAAACATATTTTAGAATTCTTTCAGTGAGAGATTGATTATGAAATAGTGTAATTTTATGTCTTGCAACTAGGATTCAAAAATATGTATAGGTTATTAAGTAATATGGATAATTTAATTATACATTGTAAATGGTTTTCGTTAACACATGGTATATGCAATTGTTATTCGCAAAGTATACATAGGTACTTTGATTATTGATATTTCATAAAATTATACAAACACTTATAACAAAACATAACATTAACCATATTATCTACCAGCTACCACTTAAAGTTGTTTTATATTTTTATGAAAATATGAATTTGGCAGTAGGTGTTAAATATTAGATTGTAATGTAGTTCGTACCAAGTGGCCATGATACATTTAGCATTTAGCTAAAGAATTTGTAGTATGAAACATTAGTCTTGTTACATTTTCCTCACAAAAAAGGTGATATAGAAGTAAACGTTACCTGATTAAACATCTAATACAATATAATATACTACTGACTACAGAGTACACAAATATAGTGAAGACTAGTTAATGTCTGTTTATACTAATAAATATAAATTAAATTTTTACAATAACTATATTTTAAAATAATGCATTATTACTTATTATTTATTAAAAAAAATTAAAAAATTAAAACAAATTACTTGTCATTACATGTTATACATAAATACAAATTTCAATAAAATAAAAATTACATTCTTGTTATTTGTAGGAGAAGAACACATAAATGTATTTCAAAAGAGTCCTTTTGGTGATAAAATGATACAGGACTTTTCACCAAAAGAACTGAAATTAATTATCCCAAATAAAACGTATGAAAAATTTATAGAGACACGTCACAATATCAAAGAAATTATTGATGAAGAATATGATCAAACATATAATTTTGAAACTGTTTCCCCAAGTACAAAAAAATATGTGTCACAATTGACACAACTACCAAGCCCAATAAAAACCAAACAAAGTACAAAATATGAAAAACTTTTAGAAACAGTTATGAAACAAAAAAACTATTGGCACAGAAGCGTCTTAAAATATCACGTCTGATAAAACAAAATGCAAATTCCAAAAAAAACAAAAAAAAATTAAGTACTTTGATTAATAACTCTGTATTTAACTCAAAAAATTCCAAAGCACTTGTCACTATGCAGCTTTTGCATAACAAAAAAAAGCCATGGACACAAGCCGAGAAAAATGTTGCCACATCTATATATTTTAAATCCCCATCAACATATAGGTTTATGAGAAGAAATAAGATAGTTTTACCTGGAGTGACTTCTATTCAGCGATGGCTTAAATCGTTGATGTATTTACCAGGTTTTGTAACAGAATATAATTCTCAATTGACATTAATGTCTAAAGTAATGACTGAGCAAGAAAAAAAATGTGTAGTGTTAATTGATGAAATGTCAATAAAAACATGTCTGGAGTATAATAAATCATTAGATTTCATTGAGGGCTATGAAGATCTAGGGCATTTGGGTCGATCAGAAAAGTCTGCAAAACTTGTTCTTGTTGTAATGATACGTGGACTTTATAACAAATGGAAACTACCTTTTGCTTACTTTATTAGTAGTATTGGAGTCACAGGTGATCAAATGGCCAACATTGCAAGAACTAGCATTGTGAAACTATGTGAAATTGGATTTTCACCAAGTATAATTACGTGTGATCAAGGTACAAGTAACCGCAAAATGTTTTCCTTGCTGGGAGGGACTCCTGAAAATCCATATACAGTAATTAACAGCAAAAAAATTGTCTTAATGTATGATATTCCTCATTTGATGAAAAGCGTTAGAAATAATCTGCTTACAGGAAATATCATACTAACAACAAATGAAGGCGACAAAAAAATATGTTTCAATGATTTCCGTGAAACATATAAAATTGACTCATGTAGCAAAACGACAAGAGCAATGTGTAAAATTGATCAACGGCATTTGTATCCGAACCCATGGCAGAAAATGAGTTGCAAACTAGCTTTACAAGTCTTCAGCAACACCGTCAGTGCAGCAATGAAAACTGCCATTGAAACCGGTGAATTAGTTTCTTCGACAGCACAAGACACAGCAAATTTTTTCCTCCAGTTAAACAATCTATTTGATGTCCTGAATAGCAAACATTTATACGATAAAAACCCATACAGAAAACCGCTTAGTGAAAAAAATTTAAAGGGCTTCTCAATTATTTATGAAGCATTGGAAATGTTTAAAAATATTAAAAAACAAAGTTTTAAAAATAAGTCAAATGCCAAAGATAATATCCCACCATGCTTCACTGTGTTTGTTTGGTCTTTGAATGCAGTATTGGAACTTTATGAACATGAAAAAAGTACAAATCCATCACCAATAAACTTCTTCCTTTTGATAAATAGACTGTGTAAAGATGCACTCGAAAATCTATTTTCAATTTTCAGACAACGCTGCGGGTACAATAGAAATCCAACTAGCAAATCATTCAGATGTGATTTTGCAAGTATTTGTTCCTTTAGTCTTTTAAATTGTGCATCTGAAAAATCAAATTGTGAGGATGATGAAGACAATTTTTTAACACCAGAAATATTAACTGACTTACTCATTGATGATACGCCACAGGATAAAGATATGGACGTTCCAAAAACTACTTTTATAGCCTCTTCTAGTGATTCAGAAGATACATATGATTGTACAGAAAATAAATCACTACCAATGTCTTCTGTGTCATTAGAAAAATGTAAAATAAACACATTTAACCCAAAATTTAAATACCATAATTTAATAGGTAAATTATGAACTTATACATTCACTCACTGTTCTCATACCTATTATACCACTCTTAGATATTGTAGTAACCAAGTTACTACGCAACTGTCAAAATCATCTCAAAAGGTATTATATCTAGTATAACATTTTATATTAATTACAAATAAAATAATATAAAATAGATATAAATTAAATACGTAATAGTATAATAATATAAAATAATTATTATTAATTTTATAAATTATTATCGGACTGTAGTGACAAAACCGAAGGTTAACACTCGCAAGGCGATTCTAGGAATCACACAGAATAGACGTTTATCAGTGTGAATATTTTATATTATAATATTTATATTTTTAATACTTATTAGTTATTAATTATCTTAATATATATAAATCTCGTGTCACAATGTTTGTCCTCAATGGACTCCTAAACCACTTAACCGATTTTGATGAAATTTTTTACACCGCGTGTAATTTGGTCCAACTTAAAAGATAGGCTAATTTAAAAAGGGAGAGGACCAACCCCGGGAGGTGCTCAAACGGGAATTTTGAGATTTCCGATGGAAATTTTTGTTTAAGCTATTGCAATAATAAAAATAATAAAAAAAAAAAACTATTTGCTTTACTTTTTAAATATAAATTGTAATATAATATCTAACTATAAAAATGTGAAATGAAAATCTCTGTACTACTTATTTATCTCTGGAGCTTCTTATCAGATCTTCTTTATTTTTTTTTAAATGAAAGAGTATTTCATGGATAAGGTTTATATGAAAAAAAAAATGTTAGGAAAATCCACCAGTGTCAGTGTATTATATTATATCGGTTGCTATTGGTTAATCGGGCATGTTTTTGATTTGTATCATTATTTTTTGTCAATAGGTATACATATATCATATATATATAATAAATACAAAAAGATCCAAAAAGTAGTTCCAGAGTCTGTATAGTTATAGTCCGTGTATTTATATAGTTATATATATAAATTAATGTTTGTGGGTAGATTAGACGTCTGGGAAGAAGATAGGTTAATTTACTAAGGGTTAAATTTGTTTTTTTTTCATCGGGTTTTAGTACGGTTAGGTTAGGCTAGGATTTTGTATAAAATGATTATAATAATCCACCTTAGGCGAAATGAAGTAAAAACGATAAACTTGGTATAACTTTGATACTTTAGAGTTAAATCATACACTTACGTACAAACCGCACAGGGTACGCGATCTATCGCAGGTAGATTACCGTTGCGAATCAGAATTTTTATTCGGGGCAACGGAAAAGTTAAGATTAATTTTGAACACCGCATACACCGAATATTAAATAACGAATTGAACAAACTTTGAGACATATAGAATTGATACATTTAACGGGGCAACGAAGTGCACGGGATCAGCTAGTTATTAATACTATAGAATGTAAGTTGAATCAATATTATAAAATTACAACTAAATAGGTAACTAAAATCGTTATTCTTGGTTATTTAATATGTAATTTCCTCCAAATTTGAACATAAAATACCTAACTATATAAAAATAAAAACCGTGATTTATATTTTTAAGATTTTTTGGTTACAAAATAACCCACTTACGTCTACGTGGAACCTTGTTGTAAGTTTTCAATCCTTAGGTATAAAATTTGAACATTTAAAATCCGATTTTGAGTAAAAATTCTCGTTTTTCCTTAATTTTTATACTAATCTAAATTTTAAAGTTTTTATTCAATTTTAATAACAATTTTAAGTACACATCAATCTTGATGATCAAATCTTGATGACTAAATATAAGATCCCAAGTAAGTTGTTCTTATATGATTCAAAATTCAAAAGATTTGAAATACATGTAGATTGTAGGTACCTACTTTGTACTTACACTATTGATTTGTTTGAAGTCCACATTTTGAGAAAATTCGTCCAAATCAGTAATCACGGAAACTTGCAAATTATTATTTTCTAGTTTAAATTTAAAATTTACTCAAGTGTTAATTATAATAGCTACAGCTTGGAAATTGAATACAATGTTTCTCGTAACTCGTAAGTATTAATTTTAATTTTCTGATCGGAAACTTTGGGTCAACCCGTATCTCTAATTTCTAAGGAAATTTTGTATTTTGTATTGTATTTATTATTTCTATATACCTAAGTATATTATTCTGAGTACCTAGGTAAATAGGTAATGTTAGTGATTTGAGATTTCAACACAAATAATATTCCTATTTGTTTTAAGATAGGCTATATATTAACAAACTATTCAGCTTGCATTTAGCTATTTAGGGTATAGTAACCAGTATTCAAGATTGTTTTTAAAATTAAAAATAATATAGGTTAATATTCGTTTACGGTTTATTCAATAAATAACAATAATGTACCTACCTAATATTATTATTATATTTATATATCTAGAAAATGGCAATAGAAGTATTTGTTGAACACTTTAAGTCGACGATTCTTCATTGTAATTTTGTTTATTTCGTCAAATATGATTTTATTTTATAATTAATAAAGACGATAATATAACGAAAATAATATGATCCAGAAGTATCCAGAAGATACTTTCGGTTAGGTCTAGGTGTATATACGTATAGCAACTATTTAAATGATTAAATCATGAAACATGAGAAAAATACCAACAATATAATTTATGATCAACTAGGTAAATTAAATGTATACGAATATTTGACTTTATACGAATTTTAAAGATTGTATTCGTGCAATATGTTCTTTGACGCTCGACATTAACGTCGATCGGAGCCCGGTGAACGGTGGTCACCAACGATATCGTAGCATAATGGACGACACGTGTGCAAGCCCGGATTAAGGATCAATTGGGCCCTGGGACACCATACACTTAGTGGGCCCCCTTTCAACTTTAACTTCAAAATAATTGTATCATTACATATTAACGACTTTAGATTATTGTATAATTTTTTACTATACAAAAATAAAAAAATATAAAGGGTGTACCCTATGTCATTGTATACTGTTTTTTTTAATAATTAGATCGATGATATGGAATTTCGTTAATACAAAAAAAGACAATCGTTTCTTTATTTTTAACAGGCAATTTATTTAAAACATATTCAACATTTTTAAACACGCAGTTGTAAAAATAATAAAATCGACTTTATTTTTTCAAATGGTAACCACTATGTTTTTTTATGGATTCCGCTAAAGATTTTTTTCTAAACATTTTGACAGTCAAATGATCAATTTTGGTTAGCTAGGTTATTAACTATGATCTTCTAAAGTATGCAATAGTGACGATCAAAATTGGTCTTGGTCTTGAGGTCTCGCAAGACTCTTTCTGCAAGACCAAGACCAAGATTAGGCTTGCAAGAACAAGACAAGACCATCACTCCAAGACTCATGTGGTCTTGAAATTTTTTTTTTTTTCCCCGAAAACACATTACTGTATCTAGATTTCATTAACTAATAATTTATAACGAAAATAAAAAGAATTTATTTGTATTGTTATGAAATTTGACCAGTGTTCGAGGAAATGGCGAATTATTGAAAAAAAGATTAGAAATATAATGGGAATTGATATTACAAAATAACATAGTTGTTCATACTAATTAACAATTATTATTTTATTTTCCCAAAATCGATAAGTTTCATCTTAGAGATCATAACAAAAAACCTACACACAGCTATAACAGGTATTTAGTTATTTTTTATACATTTCGTGAAAATAGCAAGAGTCTTGCAAGAGTCTTTCTCAAGATCAAGACCAAGACCAATACTGAGTCTGCAAAATAAAGACCAAGCCCAAGATTTTGAAAGTCTTGGTCTTGGTCTTGTTTTGATCATCACTAGTATGCATTAATACCTTTAACTGAAATACCTAATTTACAAGAGCTAAATATTATTTTCTTATAACTACCTTTTATATACTTTAATAGTTAAATTGGTAATCTAAAATGTTCAAAAAAAAAAAAAAAAAACGAACAAACAAACAAAATTATTGGCAAACATAGTTCATTATTTATAGTAATTTTTGGTGGTATAAAATTGAGAACATATTTATTTTATAATTATTAATAATAATTTACCTACTATACCTACCTACTTACATAATTTTTTTTTTTTTGAAAACTGTATTGGACACGTTAAAAAAATATATTTTGGTGATAAAGATGGGCCCCTAAAATCAATGGGCCCCGGGACCGTGCCCCCCTTGGCCCCCCCCTTAATCCGGGCTTGCGTGTGGCCGCCGGCCAGCATTAATGGGATATTGAGAATTGGGATGCAAATTGCAAGCTTCACGACGCGCAGGAGTGCAGGAGTGCAGCCGTGCAGGACTCGTCAGGGTGGACGGGCGGCCGGAGCTTGCGCTGCCGCAGGTCGGAAAATAAAATATGCCTATTAATTCATACATTTTGGTTGTAAATGGCAACGTTAATTATGACCAAATTAGGCAACGTTGTATCGTAAAGCTATGATGGTGATGAAACGTAAATTACGTAGAGGTGTCAACTGCACAATTACATTTACATTTATAATATAATTATTATTTTTATATTTTCCTTATAACACGGTGCGCGCTCTATTGACAGTTCTAGTGAACTAATTCATTGCGTATCATAATATAGGCAACATGTCTTTCTATACTATCTATACTCAATGATAATACATACTTACACTAAACAATTATGATTTCTGACTTCTGGTAAAACGCCAAGGGTACCTATATGCGAATTCTGAACATTTCCGAGCAAAATATCTATATGTGAAATTTTTAAGTTTCTAAAGCAAAGTGCTAGTTGGGAGAAGTCAACTTCCCAATTTTAAATTATGAATTTTTTCCAATTATATATTTTCTTTTGAAACTATGAGATACATTACCAGTTACGACATCATCACCAGGACGTAGGTAGGTATATCTTCTACCGTGAAAAGATTAAATAAAACTATTAACGAAACTCTTCAGATCAAGTTCATCGGAGTGATCTCAGAAAGCTCAGACCGGATTCAGCTCGGATGAGTATGAATAAAATATCCATTGAAAAACAATAAGTTCGCGTATTTCCTAGTAC